GAGGTCCTGCCTGGGGCAGATTCCGGTCGAGGATCCTTCCTTCTTATTACAGGACCCTCCATAGCTTTGTGTTGGAGAAGAACACGGACCCTAACTCGATCCAGGACTCCTATCTCGATCCAAATCAGAGAAGCACGAGAACAATAGGTTGGAGATTGAGGAGGCTATGGGCGGCGCCGGAGAAGATTAGGGGCAGATGTGGAGGGGAAGGAGGACGGGCGGCGGACGGCTGGAGAAGAAGACTGGCGGGCGGCGGCGGACGGTCGGAGAAGAAGACCGAGGGCGGCGGCGGGCAGAGGCGGCGAGGAGAGCATACATCGAAGGAAGCCATCCGTCACTTTAAAAAGGACAGCGGGCTGAATATACTAAAGTACAGGGTGTTGTTTGCTAAAATGAAACGTTTTTCCCTGGCTACTCGGCCCAAGGCCCAACCGGATCGCAGCCCAGCTAAGCGACCAAGAAAGAACGTAGCAGTCAATCGAGTCGACAGTATTGCAATACAAAATTTAGTACCACCTTGAATATATTTTAATTTTCAACTGAAAGCGTAAATTAACGGGGGAAACGTATTGTGACAGTGAACCCACAGAGTCAATCCGTGCTTTATTATATACTAGCACATAAGCCCGTGCGTTGCAACGGGAGAAAAAATTGACATGCATTTTAATAACACAACACCCTTGCTTCGCAACGGACAGCCAGAAGGCCCAAGTCTACGACGTACCGATTGAAACCTAGCGTTTTTTTACGTAGGTACAGATTAGTACCACCTTGGATTTTGGAAAAAATATGGATGTTCTGCAAAAAAACGGAAAGCATAAATTCAAGGAAAAAAACATATTATGACGGTGAACCCGAAGAGTCAATCCGTACTTTATTATTATAGCAAACATGCCCGTGCGTTGCAACGGGTGAAAACAGCCCTCACACGCCCTTACCCACTGAGCATGATTAAAGACCTCACCCTCATGCCCATAACATAATAAACATGACTAATACCTCATTCTCAGGTCCACATCTTCCATTCAATATAACACCAGACACATGTTTCTGCTTGTCATATTTGTCGTCCTCGTCGCCGGTGGTCATAGTACCAGTTTTCACTAACCAAGGTTGGCCAGGTCCAACAGCTGGATTGTTGAACCGCCTTCGTGTCCGGCCATGATCAAGACCGTTGAACAAAGTTTTTTTAATCGGCTAGCTAATATAATAGGGAAAAGCATTGAAATAATATATGTCAGTGTCACCATGTAAAGTGAGTAGTTTGTGTCAGATAGACCATGAAATCTTAGTTGGATTTCTCTCATGCATTTTGACGGGTGTCACTGGGCGAGTGAGACTTGTCGTACGTGAAGACTTTATGGAGAAAAAAGATTCCTTCATATCCTAGTTTAATAAATTGAATTAAAACAATGCATCAGGTGGGCGTATTTCAAAAATTCCCCAAGTTTTATTAATAAGTATAGATTAAAAAAATCATGTTTTAAAAAATGTTTGCCTTTTCAAATTTAAAGTTCAAAATATATTTGAGTTTTTAAATTTTTGCAGATTCTAAAAATAATCACAACAGTACCTCCTAGTTTAAAAAAATGTTTGTGTTTTAAAAAATACTCAGTTTAAAAAAATATTTTTCTTTTGAAAAAAAATCGAGTTTAAATTTTTGTTAACAACTTTGCAAATTTTCGTGTTCTAAAATATATTCACTTTAAAAAGAAATCCTCTTAATATCTGGCGCGATTGTGCGCTTAATTTGAAATTTCGCGCGGCTAAATGAACACCAAGTCATGTTTGGCCTAGTGGTAGCCTTCTGAACGCTTTAGCATGAGTGACTGAGTTCGAGTCCTTGCAGCGTATTAATTTTTCTTAGAAACGTTTTACTGGCGCAGGCTGTTGGTTCCCTAATGGGCCGGCCCATTGTGGCTCTGCGCGTCTGCTTTCTCTGCGCATCTGCTTTTTCTTTTTTGGCAGAAACGAATCGGAAGAACGATAAAACTACCGCACGACAAACCACCTCGGACGTACGAATTGTAAGACCTGTGTGCCGTGTGCGTGCGGAGAACGCGGCGTGGGCCGGCCCAAAGCAGCGCGGTGTCAAACTACAGAAATTTTGATGCGGAGAACGCGGCGTGGGCCGGCCCAAAGCAGCGCGGTGTCAAACTACAGAAATTTTGATGGACGGACAAAACTACGAACGGTTCCCTAAATTAGTACCACCTCGTTTATATTATGATTTTGTCTGTACAAATCGTAAAAGCGTATTATGACATAAGAAGAAAGTGTATTGTGACGGTGAACCCGGAGACCCAATCCGTGCTTTATTATTAGGGATATATATATATATATATAGCAGTAGGATTTTCTACAAGTGCTTGCCACAGAACTAGTTAAGGGTTTCAACGGTGCAAAAGTTCTCAAAAATTCTGAAAAAAATACTGAACCAACACACTTATAATATAACATGATTCAACAGAGGGATTAAAAAAATATGACTGTATGTGTCCTGGACAAAAAAAACAAATAGTTCAGTATATATTTATGTCGCAGTGAGCTGAAATGCTTATTATTTTTGTCGAGGACACATAGATGCATATTTTGACAATGCCTCCGCTGGATCATCTTATTACATTAGAGAGATGCTCCCATATTTATTTCATATTTTTTGATAACTTTTAAACCGTTAGAAGTTTAGGGAAACTTAACTAGTTCTGTGGCAAGTTATG